TAACCAATTGTAAACGTCTTTTTGATATTAACGCGTAAGGAGCCACGAGCTGCTCTTTCTTTTAATATATATATATATATATATATCTATGTATGTATATATTTATATATATATATATACACATATGTATATATATATATATATCAAATAAGAGTACAGAAGAATAAGATAAGAATTAACAGTTAATAATAAAATCCAACTAAAAAATTTAGACTGTTCAGAGAATGACAAATAAATCGTGACAGGGGGTATACCTCAAATCCTTGCTTTTCAACATAAACTGTTTGACACAAGCAAGAACAAGATCAGACTCCACAGACCGCTCATGTACTTCATCGAGAATAATAACCTTATATTTAAGAGCAGCCAATCCCTTGTCACGCATCTGCTCCAACACGACACCAGCAGTCTTGAAAACAACTTTTGATCTGTGAATCAGTATAAGCTCCATAAGAAACTTCGCAGATATTGAAGGTTGGAAGAAAAAGCTTGTATTCGCAAGCATAGATGGATAGAAATATAACATGTAAGAAGATATCCAAATCAATGACAGTATAGTATAATCATTTAAGGCGTATAGCAAACACAGCATCATGCTCTACGAATTAATGCAGAGGATTATTACATGTTTGAAAACAAATGGCATGTCCAATCTTCCTGTGTTTTTGTGCCAACAACGAAATCATTGCAAATGCAAGATAAGGTTATGTACATAAAACTCTCCTCACACCCTAAAGTAGTAGCAGTACTATGCACTAGAGACACCCTACTTATGAGGTGATGTTTAATGTACCTCCTAAAGAAAATGATACAACAAATAAAGTTTTTATGATAAATATTACTACCGCAAAGTAATCAATTTAAAATTTAATAAATGCACCTTGTGGATGTTTTGTCTGAGACATTTGAATGGCCAATATGATATCCAATCTCATCTCCTACATCACAATTTCTAGCTTTGGCAACCATCCTTGCAATGGCAACTACTGCAAACCTTCTAGGCTGAGTGCACAAAACAGGCTGCAGATTTTCTTCTAGAAGGAAGAGAGGAACCTGAGAACTTTTTCCTGCACATGAGAATGCCAGTAGTGCCCCACAAAATCAAAGGGGGAAAGAAACTTTATTAATGATAAGAAAGCAAAGCCCTTCAACATAATTAGTTGGTTGCATGGAGTTAAATATAACCATAACAGTTAAAGTACTAATTATACTTCAGAAGTTTTAAAACATATATTTTCAATGCATTAATAAAGTACAAAGAAAGGATATCTTTTGTATTCATACCAATTGTAACTATAATTGTTTAATAATTAACTTTGTTAAATCAAAACCAGCATAAAAAAAATAGTAACTAATATGTATGCACTGTAAACCTCCAGCGGCAAAAGCAACTAAGGAGATGATAGAGAAGAACTCGTCGGCAGAGTTCCACGAGGAGTCCCTTGCCGACCTCATAAGATACCCACAAACCAACAAATTAGCGAGCTCAAATGTTAACTAAGAGAAATATCCAAGAAATCGCCTAAGAGTAGTCCGCCAGATTCAACGGATCCATCTATAGCACAAGCAGTCATCCAACTAAAAAAGCTACTCAGCCCCATAGTTTGAGAAGGCCTAATAATTCCCTACGGTCAACTATCAGGCTGAGACCTAGTCTTTACTCAGGGCACCTGCCCCTATTCTTTATACTATCTTGTATTTATTACATAAACAACATACACTAAAAAATTTTCTATAGCATTTAATTCCTAATGTCCCAACTTATAAATAGGGAATCTCAAGTAGAGCATAAAATTAGGATTATAATTTCGTTGAGTCTTGTCATGTATTACACTTCATTAGAGCTAGCCTACTGGATCTTTCTCACAGTGTTTCAAGATTTCATTCGCACCTACATCAAATGGGTTACTAAAGCCCTGGAATAATCCATGAAAAATTTTTGAGTCAGGCGGGTAAAGATGATAGGACAGTAGAAATTAAATTTTTTTAAGTTCATTTTCTATACGTAACATTTAACAAATGAAAGAGTAAGTAAATTAAAATGGTACAATTAAATTTAACTCATTTTTTTATTATATGTGTTTGTTATAAACATTTCTCTTCCAATGCTCATTTTTTAATCAATTAGTTAAACCAGAGATGTTAATTTAAAAGAACATTCAGCTAATCATAGGGAGTGAATAAAAATACTCCAAAACTACAGAAACACAAAACAAGACGATATGCATGTCAGTTAAACTTTATATAAATTAATCTAAGAATAGTTGAAGATCCGTGATATCTAACATGGTCATTCAAGGTAATTCTAAACATTCACTATGTCTTTACTGTATCGTTTACATATCAATATTTTTTAGTTTGTATATAACTGTAATTGAAGCACTGCCTAAAATTATATTATTTAGAGTAATTCAATATCAATATATTTTTCCATTTATGTGCATGTATACCTTAGTATTCCCCGCTAGTACCATATAAAGGTGAACTTCAACATATGCATGCACAAACAATCACTCTATATATTCATATCATTCAATATGTAATATTTAATTCTATAATACATAAAACTTTTTATAAAAAGAGATTATAAGCATTCATATTAAACAGATCGATAAAATTTAAAAATAGAGGAATCATAACGCATTATTCAAATATCAATATCAATTCATATGACTGGCCTAGAAGAGATACAAAATACTGTAAATTATGAGTGGCAGTACTCACTTCAATCTTAGATGATTTTCTTTATTTTTAGCATGTGTTGCCTCCTCCAAGTTAACATCTATAATATATAAAATTTCATGCTATTAAATTTTAATCAATATACTTAATCATTATCATATTACATTATTTTAATTAAGATTTTAACATAAAAACTTTAAGTTTAATCATTAGAATTAATACTAATATAAAATATTATTAATCTAAATGAAATACTTTTGAAAGTAAAACTCAAATCTTTATTTACTGTCGTCAACTTTTCTTGATTCAAATCTAAAACTTCTATAGCTTGAATCCTGATTTAATAGAACTTATTAACAATTTGTAATTAAACATATATTTAATTCATAAATTAATATTTTTGTCACAATTTGGTCTCCATTTCTCACACAGGCTCTGCTTGATACTAAAAATCCCACACAAGTTAGCTCCTCTCCTCTTCTTCTGCTCAATCCTTCTTCTCTTCCTTCCTCATCTGTCATTTTTTTAAAAAAGGCCCTCGATTGAGCCTCACAATTGTGGAACAATCCTACATGTGTCGCTTGAGCTTCTCTTCTATCCTTCTCTGCTCGATTAGGGCATTACTAACACGGGAGCTTACCGCACAAAATTTTCGCAATATTATAGTTATTACAGTACCGCAGGAATTTATGTCACGGGAGAAGGGCTAAAATAATTATCTTTCTTTCTTATGCTTTCTTCTAATTATCATCCATTCTTGTTTAGTCATTTCTTATATATGTGTTGTATTAGAATTTGGAAATCAGTTTTTGGCTTAGATTTCTGTCAGGAAGAGTGGTGCTTCATGTTGACCTCATTTTTAGTGAGGTCTAGTCTTCCTCTTAGGGTTTAGAATCTAGCCTTAGGGACCTCCCTTGACTATCTTAGAACCTTAGAAGTGGTGCCCGCCTCGTTTTAGTTCAACCTATTTCCGTCCTCTTTTGGAGTTTCGCGTGTGCGGTATCGACTTCTAACACTTAGAAGGATGAAACCGACATGAGGAAACCCAAAATGGATTCCTATAGGACCTTCCCGAGCCTTAGGGTGGCCTTCTGCACAATTCGCACTCCTGCGCGCACCAGCTTCGCAATTCGGAGAGTCG